TGTGGGGGATATCAAGGTGAGTGAGGGCAGTGGTGCCTGCACAAAGTATGCGAACAGGATGGGAGCAAGAAATAGGGGAAGGCAATCACTCGCCCTTACACTGCCTCTCTGCAGGATGGTTCCCCGTTCCCAGTTGGTCTCAGTAGACATGTCTTTTCACTACACTATCCTCTGCAATTCCCTAGGAGTCTACAGTAGAAAGGAGACAACCTTGTAGGACTACAGTCTCTGTAATTGACTCGATCCTCATACGCTAGTAAGTAGAAATGGATTTTCTGGGGTTAGCGTTCTCTAGAAACGAAATTTTGAACAGAAAGAAAAGTCAATGTTGTTGGCTTACGGTCTTCTCCACTGGAACGTGAAAGTCGACCTTTGTGGGCTTAAAGGTCTCTTCCACAAGAAAGCAAATGTCGGCTTTCTGGGCTTACCAGTCGTCTACGAGGTGATGCGAACTCTACTAGAAAGGCATGGGCGTCACGTTCTTCTTCAAGACAACACAAACTTCACAAGGCATGGGCTCCATGGTCTTCGAGAAGACGACAAGAACTACACTAGAAAAGCATGGGCTTAACGGTCTTCCACAAGACAACACGGTCTTCTCCATGAGAAAGCCAAAGTGAACTTTCTGGGCTTATCAGTCGACATGAACTACACTAGAAAGGTACGGGCATCACGGTCTTCTACATGACAAGACAAACTATACTAGAGACCCGGGAACTGCACTAGAAAGCAAGGGGCTGAACCGGTTTGGACAAGTCAACAGGAGCTACACTACAAAGGTGTGGACTTAAGGGTCTTCTACGCGACAGCAAGAACTACTACACTAGAAAAGGGACAGTTTTTTTTTTTTTTTTTTTTTTCATATAAAGTCCATGGTGTTGTAGAGGCCGGTCACTGACTACACAGTGATCACCTGGATGAGTAGGCGGTGGGTGTCCTTGAATATGAGACCACCTTCCCATCCCATCCTCACGTCAATACTCTTAGCGCACCCCCCATCCCACTATCCTACCTCAGTGTGACGAGCACTCAGGATCATCACCCTACCAACGGGAAGGTGACTTGGACCGAACAGCAGTGACAGGCACCAGGGCTGGTTACCCAGCCCTGGCGGAAGCAGAGTCGGACAAGCCTTGTCAAATGAGGACTTTGGGCACCAGGCCCAGACAGTGTACTACAGGTCCCAAGAGATTCTAGGCCCTAGGTTAGACAGGGCATTGAAGCAGTCTTACCGTCCTTCCCTAGCTTACCCAAGGCCAGGCGGAACTCAGAACGGCCTAAGCGACTTATACCCCTATCCTTAGCCTAGGGTCTAAGCCTAAGCCACTAGATAGTTCTATCCGAATATCAGTAGGAACTCCGGTGACCAGCCTCGTACCTACTACGATACTAGACCCCACCCAGTGATAGACCCCCCCAGTCTGATAGTTGTATAGTTTGCAATCTATGTGTGTATATCCGAAGGCTAGATGTACAGTTAGCACCATGTGTGGAAACTTGTGTATGTAGCCCATAGGCCATGTATAGTTCGCAAGCTAAGTATGTATGCCCGAAGGCTGTGTGTGCTCTGTGAATCGTTGTATGGAGATGTAACGGCAACGAGCTGGACAAGGATCCCCCCCAAGGACCAAACCGGGACAGTTTTAACGGTCTTCCACATCACAACACAAACTATACTAGAAAGGCCTCTAGGAGACAAAGAAAGAAGATCAGCTTTCTAGTGTGTCACAGTTCACAGTTCTCTACAAGCAAGCTCACTTTTCCTTTTTCTCTTTTTTTCTTTTTTAAAGAAAGAAAGCTCACTTTCAAGGACTGGAGGAGTATTTATCTCACAAAAGTGATGATCACATCTGTTCGAGATGACATCGGACATCTGACAGCTGATGTCAGACTATGGCTGACATGGCCTCACGTCAGACAAAGTCTGCTTGGGGACGTTGGGGGCTAATGCCCCCATTGGGAATTTGCCCAAGGCCTTCAAATGACTATAGCTAGCAGCCTAGCAGTGAAGCTAGTTATTTGAAGCTGATTGGAACGATTGCTATGGTGGCAGAACTATAGCATGGCAGACATTGGCGGTGTGAGAGTGAAGAGGAAGAGGAGATGGTATGTGAGTCTGTGGATGGGATGGTACAGAATCCACAGCAGTCACTGGCAGAAAAAACTGAGTCACTGGCGTATATAGTCTACATGGGGGATGATAGGGGGGGGCAGCAAAGGAGGGGTTGATTTTCCAGTGTGAAAGAGAGAAGAGAGGTAGTAGGAAAGAAAAGGGTTGTATATATCACTACACTACCATCTGGCAGTTCTGCCTTTGAGAAGAGACTGTATGGCCTTTCAAAGGAGGCTTGCAGTTGTATGATAATGACTGTATACATCCCCAGCAATTTCGACGGTTTACATCTACCGAGCTCTGCGTGTGTGTGTGTGTGTGTGTGTG